TCTTCGAAACCCTTCGGTTGACGCATATATACCTCCTCAGTAAGATGCCCATGAAGAAATGCATTTTGTACGTCTAGTTGACGAATAGGCCAATCATGAGAGACAGCAAGTGATAGAACAATGCGGATGGTGACATGCTTAACAACAGGACTGAAGGTTTCAGTATAATTAATACCCTCTTGTTGAAGAAAACCGTTTGCAACAAGTCGAGCTTTAAAACGTTCAAGTGAGCCGTCAGATTTGCGTTTGATGCGATATACCCACTTACAAGGAAGAATATGAGTAGCTTGAGAAGAAGGAACAAGATCCCATGTGCCTGCTTGTTGAAGGGCTTGAAACTCAGCATCCATTGCGGAGCGCCAAGAAGGAGATTGATTTGCTTCACGAAAATTATATGGTTCACGATCCAAATCCTGCGAAAAAGAGACCAATGCATATCGGGGATTGGGTTTACGAGTGCCGGTTTTAAGACGAGTAAGCATTGGATGAGAGGGTGTCTTGACTAATTGAAGAAAACCTGGAGACACTATGGGAGAAGACGGTTGATGAGGAGATGAGAGGCCCGGGTTGGAGGAAGGATCTTGGGACAATGGTGGCAAATGTGATGACAAAGAAGGGGGTTGAGAAAGAAGACGAGGTGAGGTTTGTGGTGATGGGGGATTAGGAGAAAATGCAGGACTAGAAGGTGTGACACTATTAGATAACAAAGATAAAGAATCGTTAGTATCAGAATGAGAAGAAGAGGAAACAACAGGAAATGTTACCTGAGGAGGACCTGGAGAAGGATGAAGAACCACAGGTTGGTGCTCAGCCAAGGGTGAGAGTGGTTGAGGGAGTGCAACAGTAGCAAGAGGAAAATAAGTCTCATCAAATACAACATGGCGAGATAGGTAAACACGCCCGGAAACAGGATCATAACAACGATACCCTTGATGATTTAATGAGTATCCTAGAAAAACACACTTTTTAGACCGAAATTCTAGTTTATTTTTGTTATATGGACGTAAATAAGGAAAACACGCGCAACCAAACACACGAAAAACAGAATAAGATGGAGCACGACCAAACAACTTTTCATAAGGTGATAGAAAATGCAATGGTCGAGCAGGAAGACGATTAATGAGATAAACTGAGGTATTGAAAGCATCTACCCAGAAAGATTGGGGCATTTGAGCAGTAGCAAGGAGAGTAAGTCCCATATCCACTATATGACGTTGTTTACGTTCAGCTACCCCATTTTGTTCCGGTGTGTGTGGGCAAGTGACACGATGAAAAATTCCATTATTAGATAAAAAAGTTTGAAAACTATGACTCATAAACTCACCACCACCATCAGTTTGCAATGCCTTAATTGTATATACATTATTAATGGAGAGGAGATTTTCAACCAATAATTTAAACTTCTGAAAATAATGTAAGGCCTCAGATTTATATTGCAAAGGATATATCCATGTATATCGAGAGAAATCATCCACAAATAAGATAAAATACCTGGAGCCTTTATTTGACGATACTGGCGAAGACCAAATATCACAATGGACTAATTGAAGTGGAGAAACGGAAATGGACGAAGATAAAGGAAAAGGGAGCTTAGTGCTCTTTCCCAAAGGACATGTATGACACATAAGACTTGACTTAGAAGAACTAACAGGAATAACAGAGCTGAGCTTATGAAAAATATCGTTAGAAGGATGACCCAAGCGTTGGTGCCACACAGAAGGAGTTGTTCGTTCACCAATGAGAGCTACAAATTTGCATGACTCCACCCGAAACGGATACAAACCGTTCTCACTCTTGCCTTGGAAAAGCGTCCTCCCCGTGGATAGATCCTTCACGTAAAAGGAAGAAGGTGTGAAAATAAAATAACAATGATTATCAGAAGAAAATTTTTGAACACTCAACAAATTGTGGGACACAGAAGGACAATGAAGAAGAGTATTGAGCTTAAAGGAAGACAAAGAACCAGAGCCAATATGCTCGATAGGTAAACCTGCACCATTGCCAACCGACACTTGATCTTGACCCGTATATGCAGTTGGAAGACGAAGATTAGCAAAATCGTGAGTGATATGTGAAGATGCCCCACTGTCTGTATACCAAGTATCATTAGAACCTGCAGCAGAATGAGTTGCTACCAAAGCTCGAGAAGGAACACGTGGGGAGCGAGATTCATAAAACTGCTTAGGCTTCGAGCAATTATTAGCAAGATGGCGAGGATCACCACAATTGTAACAAAAACGGGTAGGACGAGGAAAGCCACCAGAAAGGGAATTCTCATGAGCAAAGGAATGACCACGGCCAACAGAATTTGTGAACCCTCCAGAAATTTCATTCCCACGACTTGATCCATGAAATGCACCAGAATAAGAACCCCTTTGTCCACGTGAAAAGCCACGACCACCAAACTGATTGGAACCACCATAACTGCGACCACCAAATTGATTGGAACTGTCATAAGAGTCAAATGCACGACTATTGTTGCCACGACCACTGTTGCTACGGCCAAAACCTGAGCCACCAAAACTGCGACCATGAGAACCAGAACCATGACTGCGTCCTTGAGAAGTCGTAGTATAGAGAGCCGTAGAGGTAGAATCTGAAAGGAGAGAGTTAGAGTCCTCAAGTCGAGACTCAGCGCTCAAAAGGAGAGCAAGAACATCATCCAGCAGCATAGAAGTTTCACGAGCTTTATTAGAGTTTACAGCACTCTCATAAGCAGGACCAACACCATTAAGAATAATCTCAATAAAATCCTCATCATCGAGAGGTTTACCAGCAAGAGAAAGTTGGTCCGCAATACCGGTCAACTTATCAATATACGCAGTAATAGACATACTACCACGCCGAGTAGATTGGAGCTGAAATTTAAGCTGAAGTATACGAGAGCGAGACTGCGAAGCATAACGAGTGGCCAAGGATTTCCACACCTCAGCAGAAGTAGTACATCGAGCCACAGTAGAAAGAACAGTGGAAGTTAACGTAGAGTTGATCCAACTCATAATTTGCTTATCTTGTCGCTGCCAAGTCGCATATTCAGGATTTGGAGTGGACTTATCATCAAGGAGTTTTGCAGGACAAGTTTGAGAACCATCAACATAACCATAGAGATCATTGGCTTGTAACAGAGGAGTGAATTGCGCAAGCCATAGCAGATAATTGGTGCGATCAAGTTTGATCGAAACCAAGTATGAGACGTTGGGAAGAGAACTGGCCAGAGAGGTAGAAGATGAAGCCATCTCAACCAGAACAGGAAACAACCAAGAACAAACAATCAAACAAGAACAGAGTTTTAAAAAAAAATTGGATCGAGAGTCTCAAGACAAGAGCTCTGATACCATGAAAGAGCTTGAAAAGTATTATAATGAATAATTGTTATTGAATTGATTGTTGTTTACAATGATACATCCGCATAGGATATATAGACAAAACAAAAGTATAAAGTTGCAATGCACTAGGAATAGAATATTGAAACTGTCAGTGGATGTTTCCACGCCTGGTTCTAAGGAAAACAATGTTTGCTAGTTTAATTTACTATTGTATGTTAACTAGTGGTATTCACTGAGTGTGTCTTCTGTCATGTCTTCTGTCATCATTATGTCTTCTATCACTTATAACAATTGGAATCAAACTGATAAGGCTCTCTTGAGTCCCTTAATTGCTACCTTATTTGATGATGTGATTTATGTCATTTGTAGTAAGACCTCTGCTGAGGCTTGGACTCATTTGCAAGATAGATATGCCACAGTGTCTAGGGTGTTAATCATCTTAAAACTGAGTTTCATACTATGCACAAAGGTGCTGATTTTATTGAAAAGTATTTGCTTTGGATTAAGATAGCTCGTGACCAGTTAGTTGCGGTTGGTAAACGTATAACTGATGATGATGTGGTGATCACTACTCTTAATGGTCTTCCTAAATACTATGACATGATTCGCATTGTGTTGCTTGCTCGTGATTCAACCATTGGTCTCAAAGATCTTCGAGCTCAGTTGCTTAATGCAGAGAGACAAGCAGAAATTCGTATGCATGCTCTTTCTCATTCTATGAATGCCATGATGGCTACGCGTGCTTCTTCTCAACCTAATTCTGCACGCCTAATTCTGGTGGTGCAAAACACTTTTCTCAAGGTTCCAGCTCAACTCAAGGTTCTAGCTCCAAACCTTATAATGGTTACAATGGTCCCCAGTTTCGATCTTCTCCTCAGTCTGGCAAGTTCAAGTCATGTGGATATCATGTTCTCGATTTTATTCAGACAAGCCTGGTTCTAACTCTTTTGGTTTCAAGTAACAATGGAGTACATCTTCTGGTTCTAAGCCTCATGTTATCCCAGAAAGTCAAATCTGTAGTAAAAGGGGTCACACTGCTGCCAATTGTTTTTATCGCAATACTGCTGATTCAGACTCTTCTCCTGTTATTCAATGTCAAATTTGTGGTAAAAAAGGCCATGGTGCTCTTGATTGTTACCATTGAGCTAATTTTGCTTTTCAAGAACAACCACCACTAGCTTCTCTCCAGGCTATGACTGCTCACACACAAGGGTTTGAGTCTCAAGACAATTGGATTGCAGACACAAGAGCAACTCATCACATAACCCCAAATTTATCCATGCTTGAGACTACTACTCCATATGATCAAGATGACAAGATAATTGTTGGCAATGGGGAAGGTTTGCATGTTCAACATATTGGTCATGCTAATCTTCCTATCACTTCTTCTCAGTCTTTATTATTACCTAATGTTCTGCATTTTCCACAACTATCAGCTGATTTGCTTTCTGTCTACAAGCTCTATCATGATAATAAATGCATGGTTACTTTTGATGATGTTGGTTATTGTGTGCAGGACAAGGCAACAAGGGGAGTTCTTCTCAAGGGAAGGAGTAGCAAAGGCCTTTATCATTTTCCTAAATCTCTACCATTCACCTCTGTTTCTTCACCCACAGCCTTTCTTGGTCAGAAAATAAACCACATCACGTGGCATCAACCCTTAGGCCACCCTACTAATGAAGTACTTGTGAAGATGTTGCACTCTTCTCAAATAGTATGTTCACCCGATTCTTCATCTATTTGCTCAGCTTGCTTAGGAGGTAAAATGTCTAGGCTTTCTTTTCCTATAAGTTCTGACATCCTATAAGTTCTGACAGAGTAGTACATCACTTTCATAAATTTCATAGTGATATTTGTGGTCCATCTCCAGTTGTATCCATTGAGGGTTATAGATATTTTGTACTATTTGTTGATGACTATACCAGATTTATCTAGATGTTTCCTCTTATCAATAAATCAGACGTTTACTCTACTTTTGTCAAGTTTCATGCCTTCATTTCTACCCAATTTTCTGCTTCTATTAATATCTTGCAATCTGATAGGGGAGGAGAATATCAGAGTCATTTGTTTAAACAGTTTTTGACATCTCAAGAGATATTGCATCTGTTGTCTTGTTCTTACACTCCCCAAAAAAAATGGGTTAGTGGAAAGAAAAAATAGGCACATAATTGAGACTTATGTTACCTTGATGACTGCAGCATCTTTACCTCTTCAGTTTTGGTCACATGCATGTTTGCATGCTAGTTTTTTTATCAATCAAATGCCTTCTAGGACTTTGGGATTTCGTTTACCTAATCAAAAATTGTTTCAGAAACCACCTAAGTTACAGTCTCTATGGGGTTTTGGGTCTGTTGTGTTTCCATATCTTAGACCTTATAATGATAACAAGTTGCAGCCTAGGACTTGTCAATGTATCTTTCTTGGATATGCTAATGGTTATAAGGGAGTGATATGCTATAACAAAGATTCAGGGAGATTATTTTTGTCTAGGCATGTTGTTCATGATGAGAATGTGTTTCCTTTCAAGCTGATGCACTCAACCCTTACGTCAAGTTATTCTCCAGTGCTTAGTTCTCCCTTGCTTCTTCTAGTAGTTTTACCTACAACCTCTGTCCCAACCACAGATTCTGCTAATGTCCCACTTCAATCATCTATACCACCATCCTTACATACATCTCTGCAGGATTCTACTTCATCTACTACTCCTCCTTGCCCTTCCACTATGTTGCATGTCCTTACAAATGCACAATTACAACTGATACTCCCTATAAGCTCTTCTTCTCCTCTTGATAACGGTCATCTACAGTAGGCTTCTCACTCTACTTCTGTAACCTCTCAGTCAAATTTGGTTCAGAGTGTTCATCCTATGAGAACTAGTCTCAAGGATGGTAGAATATCCAGAAAACATTACTCTAATGTTGCTCATTACACACAGTCCACTAATCACTCCTTCTCTGGTGTTACTTGTATTGCTCATATTACAGATACTAGTGAGCCTTCTCATTTTAGATTGGCTGCTTCTAAACCTCACTAGCAGCAGGCTATGAAAGAGGAAATTGATGATCTTACAGTTCAAGGCACTTGGGTTTTAGTGCCTCCTCCACCAAACAGAAATATCGTTGGTAGTAAGTGGATTTACAAAGTCAAGAAAAATCCAGATGGGTCTGTGTCTAGATATAAAGCACGTTTGGTTGTTGAGGGTTTTAGTGAGGAACAAGGGTTGGATTACAATGAGACTTTCAGTCCTGTGGTTCGCCATACCACAGTCAGATTGGTGTTAGCCCATGCTACAAAAAATCATTGGGAGTTGCATCAGTTAGATGTCAAAAATGCTTTTTTACACGGCGATCTTCAAGAAGAAGTATATATGAAACAACCTCAAGGCTTTGAAGATGCTATACATCCTTCTCATATCTGCAAGTTACTCAAGTCCTTGTATGGTCTTAAACAAGCTCCTCGAGCTTGGAATGCTAAGTTCACCAGTTATCTTCCTACTTTGGGTTTCATTCTATCCCATTCTGATCCGAGTCTATTTGTTAAGCATACAGGCACTGACATCGTTCTTCTCCTTTTTTATGTGGATGACATTATTGTCACTGGTTCCTCTTCTACATTAGTTCAATCTGTTATTACAGATCTGGGTGAAGCTTTTGATATGAAAGACATGGGCAAACTTACTTTTTTTCTTGGATTAGAGATTTCATATCTTTCAAATGGCGATATTTTTGTCAACCAGGCCAAGTATCTTCGAGATCTCCTCAAGAAGGCAGCCATGGTTGAGTGTAAACCATGTTCAACACCAGCCAAACCTCATCAACAGTTTCTTAAAGATGAAGGTGTTTCTCTCCAAGATCCTACCACTTATCGAAGTCTAGTAGGGGCTCTTCAGTATCTCACTTTCACTAGGCCTGATATAGCCTATGCTGTCAATTCTGTATGCCTGTTTATGACAGCTCCTACAGATATTCATTTTGGTGCAGTCAAATGTATTCTCAGGTATCTCAAGGGTACCTCTCATTATGGTCTCACTTACACTTTAAGTGATATGCAACTGTTGGTCTATATTGATTCAGATTGGGTAGGAGATCCCAATACCAAGCGCTCTACCACTGGGTATGTGGTTTATCTTGGGAACGATCCCATCTCATGGCAATCTAAAAAGCAAACTTCTGTTTCAAGAAGTTCTACATAAGCCGAATATAAGGCTTTGGCTCATTCTGCATATGAGGTTTCGTGGATACGACAGATTCTTAAGGATATGCATTTATTTCTTGCAGCCCCTCCTATCTTGCATGGTGATAATTTGTTTGCTCTTGCCTTAAGTTCAAATCCTATTTTTCATTCCAGGATCAAACATTTAGACACTGATGTTCATTTTGTTCGTGAAAGGGTTCAGCGTGGGGACATTCACGTTCAATATATGCCTACACAAGAATAGGTAGCTAATGTGCTCACCAAGGGGCTTCACAGTCCAGTCTTTTTGCAACACTGCTCCAATCTAAAGCTGGGCCCGCCAGCTTAGCTTGAGGGGGGATGTTAGAGTTATATTAAGTTTAGCCAAGTAGTCTTAAGCTGGTGTGCCAGCTGTCAGTTAGTTAAGTGAGTTTGTTATTAGTTTAGAGCTTAAGTCTTTTTTTGGATGAGATCCAAGGGTGTCCACCGCCGACAGTAGTGACTAATCCCTTTCGCCGCGGGAGCTCTCCAAAGGAGGTAAACAGCTCATGTATTCCGCTAAAAGCTAAACTCTATAAATACTGAGCCAGCTAATATTGTATTAAGATCAATAGAGAAAATCAATAAAGAAATCCAGAACCTTTCAGTTTGTTCTTCGTTTCCTCTGTTCTTACTTGCCTGGTTATCAATAACAACAATGCATTCCTCCATGAAACCCCAAACCAAGAGGAAACTGCCTTCTTCCCACCCCACCCCAAACCCACACCAATCCGCCCCACTCGACCACCGTAGTCACACACCCACTGCACCCCACACCTAACACCCCACCAACAAACTCAAACCTTATACACTGCTTCAGCTTGTCTGAATTCAATTCTATGAACATGCTTTGGAGTGGGAATATGTTTTTTTCACTTTGGGGGTTGTGTGCAGTGGGTACCACCGTTCCAATCACCCAAGTTTGGTGCTTCCAAATAATATGAGAAATTACAAGCAATTACAGCCGGTTATCACTCATGGGCTTATCCTCTCTCAGGGAGTAGTTTTTCTTTTTTGGCTTTCCTTTTTCCAAGTGTTTTATGCTTTTTGAATTTATTTTTCTTTCTATTTTTGCTTGAGATTCTAGTTTGTTTTCTTCATATTTTTGTTTGTGGTGTTAATTACTTCATATACTTGTTCTTGACTCTATAGTGAATGTCATTTTACTTTCTGCTTGTTTGTTTTGCTCTTTTTTTTTCTTTGAGATTTAGTTTTGGCCACCCTTCTTTTATTTTAATTCTTCTCTCTAATAGTTTTCATCTTGTTTAGCATTCTAACGAAATCTTCTTTTGTTTGTGGTGTTGGTTGCGAGGATCATTCATTTGTTCGTTAATCTTGAAGAACCATAACGGCCACCTTTTGTAGATAGTGTAGCAGTTACAAGCCATTTTTAAAAGCAGTTACCAGTTGGTTGTGACATTGCAGTTGGTGCTCTTTCAAATTATCCCAATCGCTGCAGTTGGTCTTGCGACTCGTTCATTGTTTATTGGCCCAAGTTTTTCTTGTTGGTTGTTGTTGATGAGCAAGCTTCACAGTGGTACTCTTTTTTCTGGACTAGATTTTCCTCCATTTGAGGATTTTTTTAAGGCAATGTTTTAACGAGGCCACTATTGCTCCATCATTGGGCTTCACTGATGTATTATTTTGGGTAGTAGTCTTCTTTTTTCTTTTTCTTTGTTTCCTTGTGATTAGTTCAAGACACGAATCTTTTTAAGATTGCGCTCTTGTTCCTAGTTTTCATGTTGGTTTTCGGATGTTTTCATCCTCTCCATTGTACTCTTATGGATTCTAATAAAACATCTTTACCACCAACAACAAAAGTTTAGTTATATGCTTTTTTTGGACTATATTGAGTAAACTATTACCTACAAAAGTACTAAATTGAAATGAGTGGTTTTCTTTCATAAATGTAGTATGATTTTACTACTATACGCATGTTGGAATACAATTTTGATAAGAATAATGCTACTCTTACCACATTCCCATACCACTTTATGTGGCAGATGAGGTGGACATCCACATAAATTAAAATTAATTTAACATTCTTTTTCTTTTTTTAATTTATAGACACTTTTTAATTAATGTGGTTGTTCACTTCATCTACCACATAAGGTGGTATGAGAATGTGGTAAGAGTAGCACAAAAGTATTGATTTGTCGTGAGGGGGCCATAGGCTTAAGTATAGCAATTTTTCTTTGTATTTGTTACCACACCCAATATATATAGGCTTATTTGTTGAAATGCCCCATGTGGTTTCCAAATAGTCTCAATTTGTCTCATGACGTTTTAAATAACTTAACTCCCTCGTGAACTTCCATGATGTGACCAAGATTGCCCCATTCCGTTAGTTTTCAGATAAAAATCATTAAATCAGCTGACGTGGCATGGGTATTTTGGTAAATTTAACTATTTAAAATTAAAAATTCCAATTAAAAATAAAATATTGCTTGAAATTATTTAAAATGTTTTAAAATATATAAAATAAAAATAAATTAGGAATAACCATTTAACAATACCCAACAGCTCCTCCCAACCCCCAAGTTCGACGGTACTGTCAAATCCCTCATCTTCTCTCTCTCTCCTGCTATGTCTCCCTCTCTTTCCCTGCAACTTAGATCTGGAGGAGAGAGTTATGCCGGAGAAATATCTCCCCCAAACTGTACCATATTCTTCCACATAACCGACACCAACCCAAAGTCCACTATTTCCAAAATTAACATAACTCCCCAATAAATAGCTCAATAAAATTAATTGGGGGGCCCAAGGCCACCCAACACAGCTTTGCCCCTGACTATAATATTTATATTCTCAAAAAGCTTATGTCACGTGATAGCTTACATAATTTGCAACGCGATATAAAACATTGTCCCCAATTTAACCATTTGTAAAATCCAGCAAATGTGTGAGGTTTTATCACAAAAGGTAAGTGTTATTAGTAATGGAACCAATTATTATATGTTACATTTTATTTTATCAAGTTTCCAACCTATGACTTTACATTCTTCAACCAAAACTCTATTTAAAAATGTTCCATTCTCTTGCCAAATAGAATCTTTAATTGCCCTTTATATGCCATCTTAGGATTTTATTAAGGGTAACTATTTTCAAAATATATATTATTTTAATTAACTTATGCTTGTCGTAATTGTATTTTAGTTTTTAAAGATTTGTTGTATCCTATATAATGTTGTATGGTATTTGGTGTATCCTATATTGTATGACATCACGTATTGCGTATATGTATCTGTATTTCATAGGAGCTAATTTTCACACAAGATAGGAACATGGGAAAACTCACTATGTAGATCTAATTATGATACTAAAATACGTTGTAAACTCAAGTGAGTGGTGAACTCTAAGGGCTCGTTTGGTACACATGACTGTTTTGGCATGGACTATGCTTAGGGACTGTCTTGGCTTGGCTTGGCTTGGTCTAAGTTGGATAACACTTATCCTGCGTTTGGTGTACGCTTGGACTAGGACTAGATTTTTATTTTTTTTTCAAAACTATCTATGTATATGTATATATGTATAAATACATGTATTATGTATGTGTACATATGTATTTTATAATATATGTGACATGTATGTGTATATATGTAAATAATATAAACATATGTATGTATATATATTATAAAATACATATATATATATATATAT